TTATTAGTGAAAAGCTGCTGAGCGCAACAAAATATAGACTATATTTAATAACTTGCTCTTATCTCCTGAAACACTAAACACTTAAGATCACAGAATAATATGCAACATCCTTAAATAAAGGGGAATCGCCTATTAAGTGTCATAAAGCCTGGAAAAAAATAATGTTTTAGGTCTCTCCAGAGCATTTGGGCTGAATGTTTGATGACGTCTATCAAAACGAGGATGTTATATAATACATTTCATAACGAGTTATTAGCAGAGAATTTCTGTGGTTCATATTATAGATGGGTGCGCTCCCTGTGCTGGGTCCCTCCGTTAGTGGCGAGACTCGATGCACGATGCCAACAGTTGCTCGGCGGGTAAACGAATATAATGAATGAGAACACACAGGCCTGTGCCTATAAACATATAATGTAATGCTGTAACGTGTCATTTGTTTGTTTACATAAAATAGGCTACGGCATAGTTTCTACAGCAAATTAGACAAAACAAGAATGCAGGAAACTTTAACTCAATGTTCAGTGGAAATGTTTAATTTAAGGTTCCCACTTTTACACGTTGATCAGTTTGAGGTAAAATTTGTCAAATTAAGTTTGTAATAGATTTAAAAGTGCACTTGTGTGTCTGCCTTTTTTATTGATTGAGTGGTAGAGGTTGATATGACATTTAGGGTGCTTTCACACCTGTGAATCGATTCAGTTGTTCTGAAACAGAGATTACAAATGTTACTTTGTTGCTCTTTGCTCTTGGAGCGGTTCGCTTTCACACTGCAAAGTTTCTAATCGGACCAAAAGAGCTAAAACAAGTCACGTGCGAGTAAACTCTCCTCACATTGGTCAGAGTGTCAGGGTTTATTTTGCAGCGTCCCGCTCAGCTGTCAGGAGAGGTGGTGGTTTGGTGGTGATTGACAGGGAGCGCGTGCGCGCGACGTGTCTGAGGAGAGATGCGGTGGGGAGGGGTGAGAAGGGTGCGCGACGATGCCTATTTGAGGACTGGGAGGGAGAGATGCGAGATTACCGGGAGATCATCACTCGTTTGCGGGCATCCGGAGACTCGCGAAACTTCCCACCCTAATCATAATTCTCTCTTCATATAGCCGTAAGCCTATTACATATCCATAAAACACTGTGATATAACCGCGCTCGGATCGGATCGCTTTCTCACTGCAATCGAACCGCTCCAGGGTTCGTTTCAATCGAGCCGAGACCACCTCATTCAAACGATCTCGGAGCGATTACTTTGGCGCGGAACAGAGCGCGATTGCCCTGTTCACATATGCCAAACGAACCGCGCTAACTATGCAAACGAGATACGTTCCGAAACAAAAGTCTGGGTGTAAAAGCACCCTTAAAATGTAAGCAGAACTAAACGATAGTTTTTAGAACGAGTAATAATCCCATTAATCTAGGTACAGTACATGTCCCTGTCGAAGGTCAGTGAATTTAAGCTAATTATTTATTAAAAAAGGACAAGCTATTCTCGTACGTGACTTTGTTCTTTGTGTGACTGAAATGTAGGCAATATGTCTCCATCCAAGAATGTGAATTAAATTTATGCGCTAAACAAGAAAATCGAATTTAAAAGACTTGCGAATAAAGCAGCGTTTCCATCCAGTGAGTCAAAGAGAACAAAACCGTCACTTCCTGATTAACTGGCATCAAAAATCAACAGTAAAACAGAATTTACTGTGGTAGGAGAAGCTGCGTCAATGTTTTCTTTATTTAATAAATGACTTTCACCTCAGAAGACGATGCTGACGTGCGATGAACGCGTGGTGGCGTTTGAAGGCATGAGATGCAGAGAACAGACGCTCTCGATTCTGGAGGTAATCAATAATATAAAAACACTAATACTGAAATGGTTAAGGCGTTTTAGAATGACCAAAACGACACTTCAGATGTTTTAAAATGTCCTCAGCCTGCTGGGCCGCGTTTCAGAAAGGAGGTTAAGTGAAAACTCAGAATATGTTAACCCTGAAATGAGAGAAACTCTGGGTTTGGCAGGTTTGTTAAACTGGAGAAAGCAGGGTAAATCCAGCCTGTTTCTGAAAGAGAGGTAACTTTAACTCAGTCAGTTACTGTGGTAACTTACTCTGTGAACCTAACCTGGTCAGCAGCAGGTTTTATACTCTAAACTCAGAGTTTCTGTTTGTCTCCTCCCGTCTTTAAAGATGAAACGGTATTTCTTGCCTTAAGGCTGATTTATACTTCTGCGTCAAGCGCACGCGTATGCTACGGCGCAGCCTACGCGCTGACGCATAGCCCTACGCCGTGGCCATCGGCGTCACTGACGTGAACCTCTCAAAAAATGTAACGACACGTCGCACCGACGCGTATCGCAAACTCTGCGATTGGTCGGCTTTGTATCGCTGACGAGTCTGGGCGGCACCGAGAGCCACGCGAGCCCGATGTAGCGATTGTTTACAAGTGTGGAGTCCCGCGAAGGAGCTCCGGCTGTAAAGGTTTTGTTTTGTGTTTACCTGATAGTTAAAGTTGTTGTATGTCCGCCGGTTGCATGAGCGAGTTTGAACCACTTGTACATTCAGGAAGCGTTCACAAAAAACAACAGCAGCGAAAAAACTCGACACAGAGGAACATTTACACCTCACTGCCAACTAGCGTTTTGGAAGTGTTAATGCAGACCAACAGAGACAGCGCACAGAAGTATAAATGCACAGCTACGCGCGTTGCATGCGCCATGGGTTACGCCGGTCACTTGACGCAGAAGGCTTTAGCCTTACCTTTCCACCCACCTATTTTAATGCTTATTTTAGATATGTGCATAAAATATTGGTTGATGGAAACGCCAAGATGCACATAACTATTGAAAATACACATAAAAACATGTGCGCATAACCGAGTAGGATAAACTTTTAATTCGGTAAGAAAAGATGCACATTAACCACAATGGAAACACTTTTACTGAACAAATTCCAGTATACACATTAAAAAAGGTCATGTGATTTTGTTATAAGTGATCATGTGATGATAAATGTGTGTTAATGGACAAACCAGGGGCATCCGGTGTGTGACCCCCCTAAGAAGCATCAAGGGGTTCATCAAAGGCACACATAAGTACGCGTTGTCACACCATCTCTATTTAATTCTAAACAGCTTTGAGTTATGCGGATGTCAGTGATGTCAGGTGGTTGTTCGTGTAGCTTATAGAAGGCAAATCGCGCAATGCAGCGCATGCGGTAAGTGACATTTCATCAACATGCATGATCGTGTTCATCTAATTTGCTTAAACTAAGCATTCTACAGCATGGCTGTATTTTACAAGCAAGGATTCTGACACAGCAACATGCAGCAGATGCTTAACAAAAGTGTTTAAATGGAGAAACACGTCAAACTTATGAATCTTTAGGGTTCATGGAATCAACTTAAAGGTGAGGAATGGACTGGCTTTGACAGCTTGTGACATTATCTGACACTTTCAGTGAGTACATTTACATGGACACCAATACTCTGATTTTAATATGAATAAGACAATACTCTGATCAAGAGTCCACCACGTAAACTGTGATTTTTGATTATCTTAAAGGACCACAGACACAAACTGCGGAGGAAACATTAGGTTGGTGACCCAATGACGTTGATGGATCTATGAGCTATAACATGTAACTGGGAATCATTAATGGAACATTCAAAAAGCCGCTCATGTAAACACCTGAATCATATTGTTGTCGTGTATAGATTAAGATAAATCATTAGATCACTGATGTCCATGTAAAAGTAGTCACAAGCCCCAAACCCAGAAAAAAGGTGCTCCCTGATTTTGATGACAGCCTTTCCACAGGTTAGTAGTAAGCTAATGTTAATAGCATAATGCAAATCTAGCATTCATGCTAACAAACAAATGATCAAAAGAAATATATTAATGCAATTCAAATAAATATGAATTGATGTTTACTTTGAACGTATTATAAACATATTTATTTTTTTCAATTTTAATGTTTCAATTTTTTATTTTTTTTGTCAAATAATTTTGTGGCTAAAAAGTATTGGTTCAGGCACCGTTTTGGCACCGGTAGCATTTTAAAAGTATCGATTTAGCACTGCCATCGAAATAACCCCAAACGATACCCAACCCTACTCGTTCACCAAGCCGACAATAATACATGCTTCTAACAGCGCAGCATCTTGTTGTCATTTCTAATTTACAGTTAAAATCAGAATTATTAGCCCCCCGTTTATTTTTTTCCTCAATTTCTGTTTAACGGAGAGAATATTTCTTCAGCACATTTCTACACAATAGTTTTAATAACTCATTTCTAATAACTGATTTATTTTATCTTTGTCACGATGACTGTAAATAATATTTGACTAGATATTCTTCAAGACACTTCTATACAGCTTAAAGGGACATTTAAAGGCTTAACTAGATTAATTAGGTTAACTAGGCAGGTTAGGGTAATTAGGCAAGTTATTGTATAACGATAGTTTGTTCTGTAGACTATCGAAAAAAAATATAGCTTAAACTGGCTAATAATTTTGACCATAAGTATTTTTTTTTTTAAATTAAAAGCTGCATTTATTCTTACTGAAATAAAGCAAATAAGACTTTCTCCAGAAGAAAAAATATCAGACATACTGTGAGAATGTCCTTGCTCTGTTACATCATCATTTTGGAAACATTTAAAATAGAAAAAAAAATCGAAGGCGTATTTTTTTTAATTCTGTTTCTTACTTTCTTCATAAGTTCATATTTTCTGAGTGTATCACACAAAACCAAGATAAGGTGTTAAGATGCAAATTTCACGCTATGCTGACTGAAATATAACGTTAGCCCTGACTCCATTGCATGAAAGCAAGTTAAAACAATTAAGCTAATGCTAAGCTAAATTAAGTTAATACATTCTAAAACGCTTAACGTATTTTAAACATTTTTAGGAAAATTATAAAGTCAACCCAAAACACTTCATAATAGGTGCACTCCCAAAACAAACCACTCACTATTTCTCCTGACTGCAGCCAATCAGGTTTCGCTGGTCAGCGTGCAGGCAAATATCCCGCCCACGCGCTAATTCCGAGGCGGAGATCAGAGAGAGCTGAATTTTGCTGTTTGAGGATTAATTAATTTAATTCCTCTTCTGTTATAGGTGTTATTCGTCTGTTCAGAGTAAGTGTATGATATCTGACCATAGTAGCGTTCGCAGACTTGCGGTGTGAACCGCTTTAACATGTGTGCTCAATGCTAATATACTCTCTTGTTTTTAGCTCGATGCTACGCTGTAAACACTCTTGTAATGTCTTACTCACGGGTTATCTGGACACCTTTCATTTGTGTCTCCATCTAATTCATTCACTAAGAGGTAGTTTAATGCTGATTATATTGAATATTGACTGTTTAACTGAACATATGCTTGTGTAAACTCTTGAAGAGACGCAAACGCTTTATTTTGCAGTAAAACAGAATTTGGGATTAGTATAATAATATAAAACACTTAATTCATTAAAATATTGAGAGATAAATGTAAACAATCAGAGACATGATCACGCTGCACACATGACATGTAGAATCGGTCACTCAAGACTTACACACACATTTATTGAACAGGGGAGAAACACCTATTTGTAGCTTGTGAGAATATTTTGGTGATAAAACATTTTTTAATAGGATGTATTTTTAAAATGATATTAGAGAGTGTTTTAATCCAGGAAATATTTTGGGGAAAATGTTTTAAAAAGGTGTTTTCTGGAGGAATTTTACAATATTTATCATATTTATGTTGTTGTTTGTATGTTTTAATACAATTAATGATGTTTATTAAAACAGTTTTGATTGTTAATTATGTGCTGAATATTTAATGCAAGTGTTTCTGTTATAAATGCAGGAATATTCCCATCAGGCTCAAGTGAAGAGTTTACTGAAGGACAGCGAGAACATGAGTGATCCAGAACCCTGCAGAATTAAACCTGAAGATGCTGAACAACAAATAGGTTGGTGTTAATTCCTGATTCTTCATTAATAAGCCTGAAGAACAATGATGATCAAAAGCTTTATCTGAGTTGTTGAACAAGCACAAAAAACAAATGATTTTATATGAAGACAGAAAAAAGTAAATACACTTTCTATTCAAAGGTAATAAATAGGGACTGAAGCTCAGTTGTCTTTTAATTGATCAAATAGTCAGTAAAAGGAGATTTGTTAAACATTTAACCCTTTGTCTGGGGTCTGAGGAGAAGTGTTGGCATTCCCTAACATTTGTGCTTTTTTCATTTTTATTTGGTGGTGTGGGGCTGGGGGGGCGCGCCGCCCAATTTGTCACTAGCCGCCTATGTCTTTTTTTACTCGCACAATCTAGTTCAAAACTGCCCAATCTGGCAACACTGCCTAGATCATGCATTTCTTTGCTTGTCTTTTAGGGATGCTCATAATAATCAATTAATCGTTAACCGAAAGGGTGTGTTTTTAACTGATAATATCAGTTAAACTATTAAAAATTATTATAATATATATTTTTAAAGTTTGGCTGCCTAAAGGGCCGATCACAGCGAACACACTTTTTGCGTCGAGAGGCGCATCTTTTGAATAGTTTATTATCGATCATGAATGCTTTGCATGCTGCTTTTGCGCCCTGCACGCCTCACGTTTTTGCTGCAAGTACGATGTGTGCTCACGGGAAAAAAAAGGAAACTGAGTGGAAAAAGCACTTAACATCAGTTGCCTTTTTTTTTCTCCAATCAAATGAAAGCAGAGGCAGGGTTTCCGTTGAGGTGACAGCAGTAGGTGCGTTCGACATGAATGAAACATCAATGAGATTAGCTGAGCGCAGGCAGGGGCGAAAATTAAAAAAAATAAAAATTTATAACAACAACAAATTTACAAGTAAAACAGAATACAGTCTCTACAAACTAGTTTATTTTAAACAATAAGGGAATTATGAATTAAATATATTACAGACACATGGGAGAAATTAGGGGAAACGAGAGGGCAATATGAACATAAAAATGAACAGGCCTATTAAATACAAAGCAATAAGCACAAATTCTTGGAGTTTAAACATCACTCTAGGGCAGTGGTTCTCAAACTTTTTTCATCAAGTACCACCTCAGGAAAAAAATTGTCTCTTCAAGTACCACCATTAAAATGAGCAGCATTAAATACAGTAGCATAGTTGGCCCAGTTAAGCAGCTACAACTCTGCACAGTTAAAAAACGTGGCAGATTACCTCAGAAATATAGGCTGTATGTCATATATTACATATTATATGCAGAATTTTTGATACATTTTGAAATGTGTGTAGCATGTACATGACATATTTCATTTCTCCACGTACCACTAGAAGGTAGTCTGCGTACCACTAGTGGTACACGTACCACAGTTTGAGAACCAATGCTCTAGGGTAATGCTGCGTTCACACCAGACACGGAACGCGCGTCAAGCGCGAGTGATTTACATGTTAAGTCAATGCAAATGCGCAAATAGAAATCCTGCGGCGCGATATGCGCGAATGACGCAAATGGCGCGGGGCGAATTGAGCGTTTTGCGCGTTTGACGCGCTTAACGAGCGTTTCGCGCGAATCTCTCGAGTTTGAAAATCTGAACTTCAGCGTACATTCGCGCTGCCCATCACACGAATCAGCGTCTGTTCTGACGTGAATTTGACACGCGAATGAAGCGAGTTATCTCAAATGTTTACGCGGCTATTTATGTCCGAATAGTGCGATTTATCCGCGCGTTCGGCTTCTGGTGTGTGAACAGCATTATACTTCTTTTTTAAATATGCTGAAAAGGGGTTTACATTTATTTACATTTAAAGATATAACACTTTCCAATATATATTAATGTATAACCCAAAACAAGGTGTTTTGATTAAGTCTTAAACAATGATTAAGATTATTTTTGTTAATAAAAGCATTTTTAAAAAGCACTTTAATCCAAAGAGATTGAACAAAAGGACATTCCTAAAATAAGTTAGCTACACTTTAAGTAGAAATTTCCCAGAAAGACCAATTATAAACGGCTAGACAGGAAATAATATATATTATTCATATTATTATAAATCATAATCATATCATATTATTGAATATATATATATATATATATATATATATATATATATATATATATATATATATATAAATGATTTGAATGAGGCTATTGCACCGACAGTGCTGTCATTTTCAAGGGCTTTGCTGATGCTTCTGCTATCAGTGATTTAGCTCACCTTCAGCATGCAGAATAACATCAGTCCACTGTATTTAAAACAACATGGATGTTGACCAATTTAGCTTTGCTAAGCTAACTCTCTAAACGGCAGTGTCTCCCTTTGCAAACATGTAACAGGAAAGGACTGAATTTTATTGACAACTTCAGTCTTTTCTGGAATCAAAGACTAGTATTTACATCAGACGGCCTTCATCCAAACAAACTTGGTGCAAAAGTGCTAAAGGACAATATCGATTTCTCCCTTCCTCATTTATTGGCTGTGTGTGCCACTGAACTTAGCCCAAATGGCACACGCACACCTATATTATATAATATTCTCCAACTTTTATTGATGATTTTACATAGTTGTTATCAATAGTAACCTCTGAACTTTACTATTTTACCATTGCTGGGGATTTTAATATTCACGTTAGCCCCTTTCACACAGTGATACCGGTAAATATCCGGAAAATTTCCGGAACGACTTTACCGGTATATTGAAAAAAGCGCTGTTCACACAGGCGAGGACGTTACGGAAATTTTCCGGAAAAGAGCATTCACACATCCATTCCAAAATACCGGTAAATTCTGACATCATTCACCACAAATGAGCTTTAAACGGCTGCGCTTGTATTTGTAAACATTTGACTAAATTACAAACTCTGTGGATGATCAGTATTGTGAACAACTTTCGCAGAATCACTTTCTCATGTCGAGATGTTCATAATATGTGCGTGTGCTGGCGCTCACAGGCTGTTTCACAGGCACACGCAAAGCTTGAAGGTAAACAAACAACGGCTTATCATAAGCATCTCATCGATGATTATTTACACAGTTGACATTAAGAAGAACATATAAACGTGATCTGACTAACTTCTAGCAGCTAAATGTGTCTGGAAAAATATTCAAAGGCTTTTATTCTCACAAACCGCGCGGACGTGAATGCGTCTGACTGTTGTGATTGGCTAAAGCAGACGTCTCACGTCAGCACGTTCTAGACGTGCACGCGCTTATTACGGGAATCTTCCTTCTGCGTTTACACAGCGCAGCATTCCGGCAAATTGCCGGTAATGTTACAACTTCTCTTTCCGGAAAATAGCCAGAACGAATTTACCGGTATTTTCAAAAAGGACCTGTTCACACATACAACCTTTCCGGAAAATTGCCGGCAATTTTCCGGAAAGGTCTGTATGTGTGAAAGGGGCTATTGATAATCCAATTTAATGTGAAACTAAACACTTCTAGGCAGACTTTCTTTTTCAAGCTTTATAAACAGCAACGTAAATAATGCTCATACACTCTTAGACATCCCCCCCCCAGTAGGATTCCCAGTGAGCTCCTCTCTGAAAGCAAATGTAATGAGTTTGCTCATTTCTTTACTGACAAGATCAATAATATCAGAAAGGCAATCAGCTCATCCAATCAGCCAAGATGTGTCGACGTCAAACTAGCTCAACCACAACTTAAGAAATCAGAAATTATGTCTGATTTCATGGCAATTAATGGCAAAATCTTAGAAGAGATTGTGCAAATTATGAAAACATCAACCTGCAGTCTTGACACGCTCCCCACATCATTCTTCAAAACAGTGTTTACCTGTTTAGAAATGGATCTCCTAAAAGTGGTAAATGATTCACTTCTCTTAGGGATTTTTCCAAACTCACTTAAAACTGCAGTTGTTAAACCCCTCTTGAAGAAGAGCAACCTGGATAACATCCTATTGAGCAATTACAGGCCAATCTCAAGTCTCCCTTTCATTGGCAAAATCATAAAAAAAATAGTTTTTAATCAGGTTAACAAGTTCTTAAGCTTCAAGGGGTGTTTAGACAATTTTCAATCTGGGTTTAGAGCACATCACAGTACAGAGAGCGCTCTTATAAAGATAATTAATAATATCTGCCTAAATACAGATTCAGGCAAACTAACAGTGCTGGTACTGCTCGATCTCGGTGCTGCATTTGACACTGTCGATCAAAGCATACTTCTGGATAGGCTTTAAAACTGGGCTGGGTTGTCTGGGACTGTCTTCAAATGTTTCAGAAGGGAGAGGTTACCATGTCAGTATAGGTGACCATAGGTCGAGGTGGACACCCATGACATGTGGAGTCCCACAAGGCTCAATTCTGGCACCTCACCTCTTCAACATTTACATGCTTCCTCTAAGCCAAATAATGAAAACCAAATCTCCTACCACAGCTATGCTGATGACACTCAGATCTACTTAGCCTTACTTTCTAATGACTACAGCCCCACTGACACTCTGCTACGTTTTGCCCAGTTTCTTTCTTATGGTGGAGTCATGAACACTCACCTGAACTGAGGAAAGTGAGGCCTGCAGGTCTTTTGGTGTTGTAATGGGTCTTTTGTGACCTCTTGGATGAGTTGTCGTTGCTCTCTTGGTCTAATTTTGGTCATCCAGCCACTCCTAGGAAGGTGATGAACAGTAAAAATCACAAATTTGACCTCTTCCCAACAGGGAAAACACCAACAATCAAGAATGCATGATTATTTGCTGTCATGGCTTTGCAATAAAAAATGTGGTTCTAATGGAAGTCAATGGGGTAAAAACGGTCACATACAAAATGAAAGGGTAGTCAATTTGCCCAGTGTTTATTGTTGAGTTTTTGAAAAGTTCCAAAGCATTTTCCCAACATATGTGTCAAAATAAGATTTGTCATCAAACATCAGTCCATTTGCTGAAACACTGAGAAAGTTGTGGCCAAATTAAAACTCAAAATCACCCAGAGTGGATGAAAACAACCCAGCAGCACACAGAGGGCTAAATGTGCACATTTCAGACTTTATACAGATTTGTCACATTTAATGTGCATCAAATTTGCAGCTTGTGTAGCCAATGATTTAGCACCTTTTGACTTCAGCTTTTAATGGGAGTTGTAAAAACTTAATAAAAACCTGTTTTTTTTTTCAGACCTAATTGAAGAAAATGTGGCGAGTAAAGAAAAGGAACGTCATGTCAAAGTTGAGGAAAAAAATCATTTACAGACTTCTGGAGACAAGAATCATTTCGCCTGCACTCAGTGTGGAACGAGTTGTAGCAGAAAAAGCCATCTTAAGGTTCACATGAGGATCCACACTGGAGAGAAACCATTCACCTGCACTCAGTGTGGGAAGAGTTTCAGCGTCTTGTCAAACCTTAATAAACACATGAAGATCCACACTGAAGAGAAACCATTCATATGCACTCAGTGTGGGAAGAGTTGTAGAAGAAAAGAAGATCTTAAGGTTCACATGAGGTTCCACACTGGAGAGAAACCATTCACATGCACTGAGTGTGGGAAGAGTTTCAGGCTGTCGCAACAACTTACTCATCACATGAGGATCCACACTGGAGAAAAACCATTCACTTGTTCTCAGTGTGGGAAGAGTTTCATCCAGTTATCAAACCTTAATGATCACGTGAAGATCCACACTGGAGAGAAATCTTTCACATGTTCTCAGTGTGGGAAAAACTTTAGCCGTTCATCAACCCTTAATAATCACATGAGGATCCACACTGGAGAGAAACCATTCCCATGCACTGAGTGCGGGAAGGTTTTCAGGCTGTCGCCACACCTTACTCAACACATGAGGATCCACACTGGAGAGAAAACATTCACATGTTCTCAGTGTGGGAAGAGTTTCATCCAGTTATCAAACCTTAGTAATCACATGAAGATCCACACTGGTGAGAAACCATTCACATGCACTCAGTGTGGAAAGAGTTTTATCTTCTCATCATCCCTTAATAATCACATGAAGATCCACTCCGGAGAGAAACCATTCACATGCACTCAATGTGGGAGGAGCTTCATACTATCATCAAACCTTAATCAACACATGAGGATCCACACTGGAGAGAAACCATTCACATGCACTGAGTGTGGGAAGAGCTTCAGTCATTCTTCATGCTTTAAATTCCACATGAACATCCACACCGGAGAGAAACCATTCACGTGTTCTCAGTGTGGGAAGATTTTCAGATCCTCGCCAAACCTTAATCAACACATGAAGATCCACACTGGAGAGAAACCATTCACATGCACTCAGTGTGGGAAGAGTTTCAACCAATCATCTGACCTTAATCAACACATGAAGATCCACACTGAAGTAGGCATGGGATAACCGTTTTCAAGGTTTGGAAAAGTCAAGGTTTTAGAACCACCAAAATGTTCTGCTATATTGTTCCTATGGTGTGTGTCAGTCTTTTTATTTACATTTTTTTTGTTTTTGTGTTTAGTACAACAGTGTCTTCAGCAGAAATGAGATCTAAAATGCCTTTTTAAACTGTAAATTAATCTGTGTTTCTGAAACTAATGAAGGCAGCAGAAGTCAGTGATTCATTTGAATTATTCAGCCTGACATGTTTACTGCTCCACAATCAATGACTGTAAAAAATATGGACGACGCGACAGCCCCCTTTCCCATTGAACGCCTTGAGGGGAAAACGCCTGCTTGACGGGCACAAACTGTCGCAAAAGACTGCTGAAATTGGAGCCTTGACATGCGCAGAAGGACTGTCTGATGGAGCCAGAGTCGAGCTTCCAACCAAACGCTTTATGTAAAATCAACCACGCCCCCCGAACTTCTCAGCATGCGTTTGCTGTCATATTAACACAAATGGATGTAATAACGTTAACAAATATGAGTGTTTTATATATTCAATCGTGGGCCAAAGCGCATAACCTACTCGCGGCATCGCGGGCTGATTCCGGCTCGCATGCGGCAGCGCCGGCTCGCTCGGCCGCCGCATCTGGCTCGATTGACTCGGGCTGGAATCGGGCAGTGAGTCCAGGCATCCGGAGTAGGTCCAGCAGAGGTAGTCAGTCTGAGCTCTGAGGGGTAAGTCTCCGGCAGGCGAGAATCTAGCCGGAACTGGCCCGAGTGTATTTTGCTATCTGGGTGTTTAGGCGTGTATCAGCAAACTAATAAAGCCCGAAAAAAGCCCTGACCTTAGCGAATAAACAGTGTTCCACCAGGATCATGTATGTCAGAAACTATAGTTTACTGCTGAACTCATTTTGTCATGGTAAAATAACACAGAAATCGAATAATAACACTTCAGTCTCCTGCCGAAGCTCAGACGGTCCCTTTGAGAAACTGTCAATCACAGCTGTCAATCACGATGACACGCCCAGCATTAAATTACTGCTAAAAACAAACTGTTTACAAAAATGAAGATCTGCACCTATTTCAGCACAATAACCAGTGCCTTAATCGACCTGAACCATCTTTCGGGACAGTTTATTGCAAGTGTAATTAATTTTTTTTATTTGGGCTCAAGTCTCCTTCATTAACACAGAGGAGGTGGGCTTTATGACTTGTACTGCAGCCAGCCCCCAGGGGGCGATCTAACGGCCGAGACCTTCACTCAAACGCAGGCTTGCGGCACACTTGTCCACAATATTTTAAATGTTTCTCAAGATAAAAAAGTTTGTGTTCAAAGGGGGAAAAGTGTTAGTTCTTCACCTAGACATTTAAGAAGAGTGTATATTAAGGCAGTAATCACAATAACGTCAAACCGTTATATTTTTATCCAAGGTTATTATACCAGCAGAGTCTAATATCGGCCCATGCCTATGTAACCCCTCTTAGTTTGTATGATCTTTTTTTTTTCTTCTAATTTTTAATGAAAGCAGTTTGGCTGAGCACATTCACTTTTTAGTTTTCACTGGAATAGACAAAGCACCACACAGACACCAAGTATAACTGGTCCGGTCTGTAAGTTCCACCCAGTTGGTCCAATGCCGGTGTCCACTAGTGGATGACGGTTCAATGCCTGTTCGGTCTTTCCAGTGCACAATGTTTATTTTCTTTAAATGTAACTCGTATCTGACTCCAATTTGAGTATGAGGTGGTTTAGAATAATAATATATTTATTTTTAGTTTTATCTGACCCCATTCATAAAACATTAAGAAGATTATGTCAATATATCATGTAGATGAATGTTTGAACCTGTTGTCTTCACTCGTAACTATTACATTTGTTCATTCGGGTGCTCAGAGAAATCGCCCCAGCTGATGGCGTCCCTCACGGTCAAACTCTTGTCAGTCTTGAATATTAAACAGAGGTAATTGACTAATACTTTTAGATGTATTAGTATGCGCTAAATCAGTGTCTGGACAATTTTGCACAAACATTGCGACTTCATAACTCAAATTGTCCATACGTCTACCCTGAACCCTGAGAGACACTCGTCAGCCATGTCTGCTGCCTTATTCAGCTGCAGCCAGTAGTCAACAGGGTTCTCACCGTATCTAGGTAAGGTAAAAATCAGCAAGTGGCACACTAGAATTGGACACATTACTGAAATATTGCTGAAGTATGCTGTATATCAAATTTGGTTGTGTTTTGCAGTCTAACGTAGGGTTACTGTGCAGAGTTACTTTTACATGTTTTGCCCTGCCCATAAGATGACTATTTTGTCTGCATGATCAGGAATGTCAACATTTCTTTTTTTTTGTAGGTAAAGCTGCATCATGGAGTAGTAATAGTAATAATAATAATAATTCTTTACATTTATATAGCGCTTTTCTTTACACTCAAAGCGCTTTACACATTGGGGTGAATCTCCTTATCCACCACCAGTGTGCAGCATTCACCAGAATGATGCAACGGCAGCCATATTGCGCCAGCCCACACACCACACATCAGCTGATTGGTGGAGAGGAGACAGAGGCTGCGTCCGAAACCGCCTACTACTCAGTAGGTACTGCATTTGAACTTAAACGTACTACTCGGCCGTTAGAAAAGTACGTTCTATACAGTATGAATGTGAAAAGTATGAATGAAATTCGGACGTACTACATCCGCCATTTTGTCATGGTCACGTGACCTACCTGCGTCAATTGCGTCGCTTTACTCCCATTCATAAATTCGCTCGCGGGACATCATGGGATAATGCAACATGCATGGGATGCGCACTCTAGAATCTCGCCGGAAGTAGTGAGTCATCCGGGTACTTCTCGCATACTGTTTTTCGAATTCTATGAATTCGGACATACTACTCGGCTCGCATACTGGTTTTAGCGTACTATATAGTATGGAAGTATAGTATGGAAGATTTCGGACGCAGCCAGAGTGATGAAGCCAATTATGATTAGGGGTTAAACCCCTACTCTTTTTTTTTTTCTTCCGAAGGACATCCTGGGATTTTCAATGACCACAGAGAGTCAGGAGCTCAATTTAATGTCTCATCCGAATGACGGCGCTCACTGAGCAGTATGGTGTCCCAGAGACCGCACGTTGCGCCCCCTGCTGGTCTCGCTAACACCACTTCCAGCAGCTACCTAGCCTTCCTAAGTGCTCTCCCATCCAGGTACTGACCTAGCGCAGCCCTGCTTAGCTTCACTGGGTGACCATGTGAGATGATGAAACTGATTGCATTTATAGACATACCAGGTAATATAAGAAGATTTAGTACAGAATTGTACTCATGCTGGAACATTTACATATAACAGATCATATAAATTTATATTCAGAGCAGCATTAAAGTAAAATAAATCTATTATTGAGGAATTAAACTTAAGTGAAAAGTTTGCTTTGCTTCATAATCAATAGTTTATTCCTATTCTTAATCATTTTCAAACTCAGAAAGCAGTTTAGCATTGAAGGGGAAACATTTGGACACATGCCCAGTACCAATAATAGTCTCAAATCAGATCGTGCAATGTTAATATCTTTATTTGTACCTTTTCCAGAGAAATCTCCCATTCATTCAGAGGTAAACCAGAACTAAAAATACTGCGTTGCCGATAGGGTGAAGTGACGTCGTTGTGGAAAGACAGCCAATCATCTTTCTCAGAGCCAGCTACAGGCAGCCAATCCGCTTTCGCTGATCAGCGTGCAGGCAAATATCCCGCCCACAGCGCTTATTCTGAGGCGGAGATCGGAAAGAGCAGATTTTTGTTGTTTAATTGGTTTATTTAGTTTTATGTTACGGGTTTTGTTCGTCTGTTCAGAGTAAGTGTATGATATCTGACTATAGTAGCGTTCGCAGACTTGCGGGAATTATCTTGCGGTTTGAACCGCTTTAACATATGTGCTCAATGCTAATATACTCTCTTGTTTTTAGCTCGATGCTACTCTGTAAACACTTGTAATGTCTTACTCACGGGTTATCTGGACACCTTTCATTTGTGTCTCCATCTAATTCATTCACTAAGAGGTAGTTTAATGCTGATTATATTGAATATTGACTGTTTAACTGAACATATGCTTGTGTAAACTCTTGAAGAGACGCAAACGCTTTATTTTGCAGTAAAGCAGAATTTGGGATTAGTATAATAATATAAAACACTTAATTCATTAAAATATTGAGAGATAAATGTAAGCAATCAGAGACATGATCACGCTGCACACATGAGATGTAGAATCGACCACTCAAGACTTACACACACATTTATTGAACAGGGGAGAAACACCTATTTGTAGCTTGTGTGAGAACATTTTGATCATAAAACATTTTAGTAACATGCATTTTTAAAATGTTATTAGAGAGTGTTTTAATTCAGAAAATATTTTGGGGAAAATGTTTAAAAAAGGTGTTTTCTATTTACAATATTTATCATATTTATGTTGTTGTTTGTATGTTTTCAATACAATTAATGATGTTTAAGAAGCAGTTATGATTGTAAATTATGTACTGAATATTTAATGCAAGTGTTTCTGTTATAAATGCAGGAATATTCCCATCAGGATCAAGTGAAGAGTTTACTGAAGGACAGCGAGAACATGAGTGATCCAGAACCCTGCAGAATTAAACCTGAAGATACTGAACAACAAATAGGTTGGTGTTTATTCCTGATTCTTCATTAATAAGCCTGAAAAACAATAATGATGAGAAGCTTTGAACAGTTGATCTGTTTTATTGAGCGAGCACAGGAGGAAACAAGTGATGTTATATGAAGAGAGAGAAAAGCTAGTACACTTTCTATTGACAAGGTAACAAATAGAGACTGTTGCTCAGTTGTCTTTTATTCTGTTGGTAATCAGGGTGTCACAATCCTCCAAATCCTCGATTCGATTACATTTTCGATTCTAAAGTCACAGTTCGATTATGAGTAATCAATTAATAAATATCGAATTAATTATTTGTAGCCTACCGTTTAAACTACCTGACCTGCATGGTCTTTGTTTTACCCATAAACAAATCATACAGTAAATGAATAAAGGCAATATACACACATAATTACCACCTGTCAATCACTTTTTTCTGCGGGACTCGTGAATAGTGATCTGTGTCGTTATAATGGCGTCAGTGACAAAGGTGCACAACCAACAGAAACCAGCCAACAGTATCTGAGGTGTTCGCTAAAATGACTAAGTACAAGTGAGTGAAAGATTGAAGCAGTCTATTAATCCTCTGACTGCCTGGACCTGCTGTCTTGGAACGCATGACTGTGTGTGCGTCTGTGTCTGTGTGTGCGTCTGTGTCTGTGTGTGCGTCTGTGTCTGTGTGTGCGTCTATTTCTGTTTATCTGTGTCTGTGTGTGCGTCTGTTTCTGTTTATCTGTGTGTGCGTCTGTGTCTGTGTGTGCGTCTGTGTCTGTGTGTGCATCTGTGTCTGTGTGTGTGTCTGTGTGAATTGAGTTTGTGTGGTCAGGTGATGTGTGTTTTCAGCAGTAGTGAGGAAGGAGGGCTGCTCAGAAATGCTACAGGTCTGAGTGTGTACTTTTCGCGAGCGGATTTGCAATGGGGGCGGGGCGGAGGATCACGATGCGCCCATCGTCTATCGGCCCAACCCTAATACTTACATAGCAGAGCTTGCAAACTGTGTGTTTTTTTTGTCGACAACACCATGTTATCAACTCACTGGAAATCTAAAATACTTCCACACCGGAGAAAAGAAGGAGAAGAGGGTTTAAGCTCTGTCGGCGGGTCTCCTGCGTCTGCAGTTTAACAAGCCTGTTTTTTTCCCGCTTGGCAAGTCAAGCTGACGTGACATGGCGGCGTGGCAGCATCGACAATTCTATCTTTTGATTCGATAATCGAAATTGAGCATAAATTTCGATCGATTTTGATTTAAAATCGAAATCGTGACACCCCTAGTTGAGAAAAAGGACTATATACATATATATATATATTTTTTCTTCTTTTTATATCAAATTATTATTTGAATTGGTCATTTAAGGGTCATAAACTTACTGAACGTCTCCTGTTGTGTGTGGGATGCTGTGCAAACTAATTAATATTTTTGCAGAAGTAGATTAAATTCAGCTCTGCAGAAACCTACCTGTCTGAAGAAAGGTGTTAAAACTTAACACACAACACAGAACGACCTTATGCTTTTATTGTCGTGCAGAAAGTTAGTAGAAAAACAGGACTTATGTCTGAGGTGCGGCCAATGGAGGGCTGGAGAATGATTGACTAGTGACTAATTTCACTAAACTCCACCTGTTGATATCAGCTGCCTATATAAGTTGAAGTCAGGAAATGAAAACTGTTGCACACCTCCTGAATGTAACTTTGCATTGAGAATAACAGAATTCTGTGAATCGAATTATTCATTTGTATCTAATAAATTATGATTTTTGACATTGAAGAAAAACCTCTCCTGACCTTTTTAATTGAACACGCATGGAATTGATTCAATATTCCAACAATTCCCATGTTTTGATCAATAATATTAACAATAACAATAACCATGATATTCATAAACCATATTCAATCATGAGTTATATGTAAGCACTCCTCTCTTTGTGTCATGCCTTTTGGAAGCCCAAATACAGAAACAGAACAAGCTCAGTGAAAGTTGCACTATTGGACGGCATTTTACCTTTCGTTGCTACTAGCATTACAGCACCTCTGTGGCCGCTGCCCTTCGCCATGTGTTTCCTGGGGTGTAAACTGATGGGTTTATGACATTATTAATCTGGAAGTGTTTTACCTTATTTATATAGCACCTTAAAACAAAATTAATGTTGACCAACTTAGCTGTGCTAAGCTAACTGTAAACGCATAGCTCCCTTTGCATTGAACTTTGAGCGCTTTGAATTCATTTACTTTATGAAACCACTACTGTTATATTTGTCTCTCTTGCATGTTTGTCACACTCAGATAATCAAACTAAATACTAGTTAAAGATAAACTAAACACATTATTCACTTTTGACATGAAGTTTACTGCGATATTGCATGACCCTGTGTGAAAAAGTGTTTACCCCCAAACCTAATAACTGGTTGGGACACCCTTAGTCACAACAACACCATCTCAAAGGGATTCAAGTCAGGACTTTGACTAGGCCACTCCACAATATTCATTTTGTTTTTATTCAGCCATTCAGAAGTGCACTTGCTTGTGTGCTTTAAATCATTGTCCTGCTGGAGAACCCAAGTTTGCTTCAGCTTGAGGTCACTAACAAATGGCCCGGTGCCTGTTTCAGAAAGCAGGTTAAGTCAAAAATCAGAGTATTTTAACCCTGAAATGAGAGAAACTCTGGGTTTTCCGTTTCAAAACTGGAGAAAGCAGGGTAAGTCAAGCCTGTTTCTGAAAGAGGTGGTATATTTAACTCAGAGTCAGTTAGTGTGGTAACTTACTCTGTGAAGCTAACCTGGTCAGGAGCAGGTTTTATTCTCTAAACTCTGAGTTTCTGTCTGTCTCCTCCCCTTTTTTAAAGATGAAGCGGTATTTCTCGCCTAAGCCTTACGTTTCCACCCACCTATTTTAATGCTCATTTTGGAGATGCGCATGGAAACGTCATGATGCACATAAAAACATGCGCATAACTGAGTAGGATAAACTTTTATTCGATAGAAAATAATCACAAACTACGATGGAAACACTTTTAATGAACAAATTACAGTAGGCTATGTACATTAAAAAAAAGGTCATGATCATATGATGATGAAAATGTGTGTGAATGGACAAACCAGCAGGCTGAGCACACTGTAACACGTCTTAAATATTGTTTTAATCGTTCTAAAATGCCTGAACTGTTTCAGTATTATTGTATATAGTTACCTGGAGCATGTGAAGAGTCTCCGCGTCTCATGGCTTCAAACGCCCCCACGTGTTCATTGTGTGTCAGCATTGTCTTCTGTCTCTGAGACGCAAGTACATTTATTAAATGTAGAATTAATTGACGCAGCTTCTTCTACCACAGTAAATTCTGTTTTTACTGTTGTTATTTGGCGGCAGTTAATCAGGAAGTGACGATTTTGTTTTTGACTTGTTGGATGGAAACGCTGCTTTATTCGCGTCTTTTATGCAATATTCTAGTTTTGCACATATATTTATGTAATATATTTGGATGGAAACACAGCTATTGACATAATAGTCACACAAAGAACAAAGTCACGTACGAGAATGGCTTGTCCTTTTTTAATAAATAACTAGCTTAAATTCACAGACCTTCGACATGTACTGTTATAGATTAATGGGATTATTATTCTTTCTAAAAAGTATTTTTAGTTCTGCTTACCTTCTAAATGTTATATCAACCTCTATCACTTGATCACTAAAAAAGGCAGACACACAATTTCACTGTTAAATCTATTAAAACTGATAAACGTGTATAAAAGTTTAGAAAAAATGTATAAACGTCACACATTACATTACTTATTTTATTATACTTAAATATTTAAATACTTTAAATGTAAAATTACGCATTAACTTGAGCAGTTTTTCCAGGCTCTTTCTGTTTCACTGATGGTTGCTTCTTTTTAAATATATACACTCATATTTGCTATAACGTTGCATGAGCACATCAAGTTCAGCTGGAGAAAGAAACGGTCATCTCTTTTTTCAGATGTTGTAATTGTCACTCGTAATATCTGCGCTCCATTGATAATGCCTCTTTATAGTTGTGGTGTGCGCGCTTAACTCTGAGTTGGTCTACTCAAAGTTGATTGATCCAACTCAGATCAGCTATTCTGAAACCGAAAACTCAGAGTTTTTAATCTCTCGGTAAATCAACTCAGAGTTCAAGTTTAAACTCTGAGTTGTTTGAACCTTCTTACTGAAACAGGCCCCTGATGTTCTCCTTTAGGATATTTTTACTGTTGGTATAATGTTTATTTTCTGGAATGCAGTGTTATTTTTACACCACACATAATGGCACACACCTTGCAAAAAGTTTATCCTTTGTCAGTTCATAGAACATTTTCCCAAAGGTCTTGGGAAATTATCAAGATGTTTTCTGACACACCTGAGACGAGCTTTTATGTTGTTTCAGCTCAGCAGTGGTTTTCTTATTGGAGCGTCATGTTTTTGCCGGTTTCTTTCTCATGGTGGAGTCATGAACACTCACCTTAACTGAGGAAAGTGAGGCCTGCAGGTCTTTAGTGACCTCTTGGATGAGTTGTCGATGAGTTGTCGATGCTCTCTTGACATAATTTTGGTCATCCAGCCACTCCTAGGAAGGTTATCAACAGTTAAAATCACAAATTTAATCTCTTCCCAACAGGGAAAACCGCAACAATCAAGAATGGATGATTATTTGCTGTCATGACTTTGCAATCAAAAAATATGGTTCTAATGGAAGTCAATGGGGTAAAAACAGCCACAAACATAATGAAAGGGTAGTCAATTTGCCCAGAGTGTTTATTGTTGAGTTTTTAAAACGTTCCAAAGCATTTTCCCAACAAATGTGTCAAAATAAGGTTTGTCATCTAACATCAGTTTATTTGCTGAAACACTGAGAAAGTTGTGGCCAAATTAAGACTCAAAATCACCCAGAGTAAATAAAAATGACCCAGTAGCACACAAGGTTTAAAGGTGCACTTTTCAGGCTTTATGCAGATTTGTTACATTATGTGCATCACAATTACAGCTTGTATAGGAAATGACTTAGCACCTTTGATTTCAGCTTTTGATGAGAGTTATAAAGACTTAATAAAAACCTGTTTTTTTATTTTATTTCAGACCTTATTGAAGAAAATGAGGTGAGTAAAGAGGAGGAACATCATGTCAAAATTGAGGAAAAAAATAATTTACAGACTTGCAGTATTTTGAAAAAGAGAGACAAGAAACCATTCACCTGCACTCAGTGTGGGAAGAGCTTCAGCCAATCATCAATCCTTAATAAACACATGAAGATCCACACTGGAGAGAAACCATTCAGATGCACCAAGTGTGGAAAGAGTTTCTGCCAGTCATCACAACTTACTCAACACATGAGGATCCACACTGGAGAGAAACCATTCACATGCACTCAGTGTGGGAAGAGTTTCAGCCAATCATCACACCTTAATAAACACAAGACAATCCACGCTGGAGAGAAACCATTCACATGTATTCATTGTGGGAAGAGCTTCAGCCAATCATCAAACCTTAATAGACACATGAAGATTCGCACTGGAGAGAAACCATTCACCTGCACTCAGTGTGGGAAGAGCTTCTGCCAGTCATCACAACTAACTCAACACATGAGGATCCACACTGGAGAGAAACCATTGACATGCACTCAGTGTGGGAAGAGCTACAGACAAAAATCAACTCTTAATAAACACAAGAAAATTCACACTGGGGAGAAACCATTCAGATGCACTCAGTGTGGGAAGAGTTTCACCTTCTCATCAAACTATAAAAAGCACATGAGGATCCACACTGGAGAGAAACCGTTCACATGTTCTCAGTGTGGGAAGAGCTTCATCTTCTCGTCAAACCTTAATCAACACATGAGGATCTACAATGGAGAGAAACCGTTCACATGCACTCACTGTGAGAAGAGCTTCAGCCGATCTTCAAGTCTTAAACTACACATGAAGATCCACACTGAAGTAGGTGTTATAATATCTAGCCTATTGCATGCGTGTTCTGTAAGAAAAGGTCAGGAGAGGGTTTTCTTTAATGCCAAAAATATTAGTAATTTATTCGATACAAATAAATCATTTGATGACAGAGCTCTGGATTAAGTTACCCTAATAAAATACAAGAATTACCTTCAAGAGGTTCGCAACTAGCATACATTTCCCTGACTCCAGCTTATGTACACAACTCCTATTAAAAGGTGGAGTATTGGTTTAACGTCACTTATCAATCATTCTGCTGTCCTTTGGCACCTGCACCCCAAACATTCTTCCTCTTTCTGCAACCCTTCTTTGCATATCAGAACTGAACAGCTAAATGTATGTTTAATATATTTCACAACTTCTTCAAGTTGAACTGCCACCTTATCATGGTGGAGGGGTTTGAGTGCCTGAGTGATCCTAAGAGCTATGTTGTCGGGGGCTAATGCCCCTGGTAGGGTCTCCCAAGGCAAATAGGTCTTAGGTGACAGGTCAGACTAAGTGCGGTCCAAAAACCCCCTATGTGTTCGATTACATCAAGAACTGTGACGTTGCCTGGTATGGCGCAGCGGGCTGGTGTGGGCTTGCTTATAGCTCCCCAACTTAGCCGCCATGTGTTGGAGTTTTCCCCGGTGAACGAGAGGGTAGCCTTCCTGCGCCTTCGGGTCGAGAATAGGTCTCTCACTGTGGTATGTGCCTACGGGCCAAACACCAGTGCAGAGTACCCTGCCTTCTTGGAGTCCTTGGGAGGGGTGCTGGAAGGTGCCCAGACTGAGGACTCCATTGTTCTACTGGGGGATTTCAATGTCCACGTGGGTAATGACAGTGATACCTGGAGAGGCGTGATTGGGAGGAACGGCCTCCCTGATCTGAACCCGAGTGGTGTTTTGTTATTGGACTTCTGTGCTAATCACAGTTTGTCCATAACAAACACCATGTTTGAGCATAAGGGTGTCCATCAGTGCACATGGCACCAGGACACCCTAGGGCGGAGGTCAATAATCGACTTTGTGGTTATATCATCTGATCTCCGACCGTATGTCTTGGACACTCGGGTAAAGACAGGGGCAGAGCTGTCAACTGATCACCACCTGGTAGTGAGTTGGATCCGCTGGCAAAGGGGAAAGCTGGACAGACCTGGTAGGCCCAAGCATATTGTGAGGGTCCTCTGGGAACATCTTGCTAAACCCCAAGTCGGAGGGATTTTCAATTCTCGCCTCCGGAAGAGCTTTGACCAGATCCCGAGGGAGGCTGGAGACATAGAGACTGAGTGGTCCATGTTCTCCAACTCCATTGTTAACGCGGCCGTGAGGAGTTGTGGTCGTAAGGTCTGTGGTGCCTGTCGGGGCGCAATCCACGAACCCGGTGGTGGACATCGGAAGTAAGGGATGCCGTCAAGCTGAAGAAGGAGTCCTACAGGGCTTGGGTGGCTTGCACGACTCCCGAGACAGCTGATTGGTATCGACAGGCCAAGCGTACTGCAGCCCGGGCGGTTGCAGAAGCAAAAACTCGGGCCTGGGAAGAGTTCGGGGAGACCATGGAGGAAGACTATCGGTCGGCCCTAAAGAGATTCTGGCAAACTGTCCAGCGCCTCAGGAGGGGAAAGCATCTCCACATCAACGCTGTTTACAGCCTCAACTGGGGATGTTGTCGGGGGGTGGAAGGAATACTTTGAGGATCTCATTAACCTCATCGACATGTCTTTCATCGAGGAAGCAGAGACTGGGGATGCAGGGGTGGACTCGCCCATCACCCAAGCTGAGGTCACTGAAGTAGTTTGCAAGCTCCGCAGTGGCAAAGCCGCGGGGGTGGATGAGATTCACCCTGTGTATCTTAGGTCTCTGGATGTTATTGGGCTGTCGTGGCTGATACGTCTTTACAACATCGCATGGAGGTCGGGGACAGTACCTTTGGACTGGGCAACTGGGGTGGTGGTTCCCATTTTTAAGAAGGGGGACCGGAGGGTGTGCTCCAACTATAGGGGGATCACACTCCTCAGCCTCCCGGGGAAAGTCTATGCCAGGGTACTGGAGAGGAGGATCCAGCTAATGGTTGAACCTAGGATCCAGAAGGAACAATGCGGTTTTCGTCCGGGCAGCAGTACACTGGTCCAGCTCAATACCCTCACCAGGGTGCTCGAGGGTTCATGGGAGTATGCTCAACCAGTCCACATGTGTTTTGTGGACTTGGGAGAAGGCATTCGATCGTGTCCCTCGCGGCATTCTGTGGAGGGTGCTCGGGGAGTATGGGGTCAGAGGTGATCTATTAAGAGCCCTCTCGTCCCTGTATGAACAGAGTAGGAGTCTGGTTCGCATTGCCGGCAATAAGTCAGATTTGTTTCCAGTGCATGTTGGACTCCGGCAGGGCTGCCCCTTGTCACCAATTCTGTTCACAATTTTTATGGACAGAATTTCAAGGCGCAGCCTTGGGCTGGAGGGGGTCCGGTTTGGGAAACACAGGATTAAAATCTGTGTTTCGCAGATGAAGTTGTTCTGTTGGCTTTATCAGACACGGACCTTCAGCATGCACTGGGGCGGTTTGCTGCCGAGTGTGACGCGGCTGGGATGAGAATCAGCACCTTCAAGTCCGAGGTCATGGTGCTCCACCGGAAAAAGGTGGTTTGCCATCTCCAGGTTGGAGGAGGGTCCTTACCCCAGGTGGAGGAGTTTAAGTATCTTTGGGTTTTGTTCACGAGTGAGGGAAAGATGGAACGTGAGATTGACAGGCGGATTGGTTCAGCGGCAGCAGTAATGCGGTCGATGTACCGGTCTGTTGTGGTGAAGAAGGAGCTGAGCCGAAAGGCAAAGCTCTCGATTTACCGGTCAATCTACGTTCCTACTCTCACCTATGGTCATGAGCTTTCTATCATGACCGAAATGAGTTTCCTTCGAAGGGTGGTAGGACGCACACTTATGGATAGGGTGAGGAGCTCTGACACCCGTGAGGAGCCTGGAGTTGAGTCGCTGCTCCTCCACATCGAGAGAAGTCAGCTGAGGTGGCTCGTGCATTTGTTTCGGATGCCTCCTGGACGCCTAGGGAGTTGTTCCAGGCATGTCCCACCGGGAGGCAGCCTCGGGGATGACCCAGGACACGCTGGAGGGACTTTGTCTCTCGGCTGGCCTGGGAATGCCTCGGGATCCCCCTGGAGGAGCTGGAGGAAGTGTCTTGAGATAGGGAAGTCTGGGGTTCTCTCCTAAGACTGCTGCCCCCTCGACTCGGCCCCGGAAAAGCGGCAGAAGATGAATGAATTTCTTCTAGCATCATGACAACTTGTGACATGTCCAGACTTGTTATTAGACAGCAGTCTGAAGCAAGGGCCCCTGCACTATATTTTTATTTTGCTATTTCTCTCTTGTCAGCAGTTCCTTCTAAAAAATATGCAACACAGTAATAAAGAAGAAGTGTGTCTGGTTGATATGTGGTATCATACCAAAGAAAAAGATTGATTAATCCGCTGTTGGTCTAAATGGTTTTTCTAATAAAAAATAAAGACACAAGTAGTAAAAATAAATTCTCCTATTTCACTGCATAGGCGTGGAACAGTAACCGTTTTAAGGTGTACCGCGGTCTGGAAAAGTCAAGGTTTTAAAATTTCCAAAATGTTCTGCTATACCGTTCCTGTGGTATATGGCAGATTTTTCTCTGTTTTGTGTTTAGTACAACAGTATCTCCAGCAAAAAATATATCTAAAGATGCCATTTTAAACTGTAAATAAATCTGTGTTTCTGAAACTAATGAAGACAGCAGAAGACAATGATTTATTTGAATTATTCAGCCTGACATGTTTACTGTGTTCAAAGGAGTAAAATTTTTAGCTTTTTACCCAGACATTTAAAAAGAGCATATTTTGGAGCAGTAATTACAATACCGTCCATGCCTACACTGGAGAAAGGCCATTTACATGTCCTCAGTGTGAGAAGAGTTTCAGACGATTGACACACCACCAGTAAGATATGAGTTAAATTTAAAGTAAATCAACATTGTCCACTGAAAAGACCGAACATGCAATGAACCTTCGTCCACCAGTAGACACCATCGTTGGAGTAACTGGCTGGACCTTACAGCCCATGTGCGCACTGGCCGCGCACCTTCATTTAAAAACAACAAACATGTGCAAACTCTAGAAATAGACGATATGCGAACAGTGCCTCAAAGGCCGCCATCATTGCGATCTCCATCAGTTGAACTTCTTGCACAGACATGGTGGATTCACCTGATTTGTTAACAAACGGGTTACGAATCCATACAGCCCTTACTTTTCATGAAAGCAAGTTAAAAATTAAGCTAAGTTCACTTCAGAATAACGTAGTTTAAACATTTTAAAGAAAATTTGAAAAGTCAACCCAAAACACTTCATAATAAGTGCACTCCCAAAACAAACCACTTACTATTTCTCCTGACTGAATACCCGCAATTCTTCTGAACCTACAGACAGCCAATCAGCTTTCTCAGAACTAGCTACAGGCAGCCAATCGGCTTTCGCTGATTGACGTGCAGGCAAAAATCCCGCTACAGGACTTATTTTGAGGTGGAGATCAGAAAGAGCAGAACTTTGCTGTTTGAGGATTAATTGGTTTAATTCCTCTTCTGTTACGTGTGTTGTTCGTCTGTTCAGAGTAAGTGTATGATATCTGACCATAGTAGCGTTCGCAGACTTGCGGGAATCATCTTGCGGTTTGAACCGCTTTAACATATGTGCTCAATGCTAATATACTCTCTTGTTTTTAGCTCGATGCTACGCTGTAAACACTCTTGTAATGTCTTACTCACGGGTTATCTGGACACCTTTCATTTGTGTCTCCATCTAATTCATGAGATGTAGAATCGGCCACTCAAGACTTACACACACATTTATTGAACAGGGGAGAAACACCTATTTGTAGCTTGTGTGAGAATATTTTGATGATGAAACATATTTTAATAGGATGTATTTTATAAATGATATTAGAGAGTGTTTTAATCCAGGAAATATTTTGAGGAAAATGTTTAGAAAATGTGTTTTCTAGAGGAATTTGACAATATTTATCATTGATCAAACAGATAGAAGAAAGATTTTCATAAGACTTATCATCAGTGTTGTTGTTGTTTGCATGTTTTTAATTCAATTAATGATGTTTAAGAAACAGTTATGATTGTAAATTATATACTGAATATTTAAGGCAAGAGTTTCTGTTATAAATACTGGAATATTCCCATCAGGCTCAAGTGAAGAGTTTACTGAAGGACAGCGAGAACATGAGTGATCCAGAACCCTGCAGAATTAAACCTGAAGATACTGAACAACAAATAGGTTGGTGTTTATTCCTGATTCTTCATTAATAAGCCTGAAGAACAACAATGATGAAAAGCTTTGAACAGTTGACCTCCCAGGAAGGTTTGACATTGTTCAATTTTCCATGTCATTTATAGATAATGGCTTTCACTGTGGTTCACTGCAGTCCCAAAGCTTTAGAAATGACTTTATAACCTTTATAACCTATGCTATTAACATGACGTATGCATATAATAAGGTACAGTATATGTCAAAAGCATCAGTGCAATATCAGACAGCACTTGTGAAAACAGCACAATTATACCGTTAACAGATTCATTCAAGCAGTGCGTGCAGGGACAGTGAGCGCTCCGTGTATCTTTTGGTCACTCAGTTCTGTAAAAAAAAAAAAAGTATTTTCTTGTAATAACGGGATTTCACTGTGACATATTTTCCTTACGCTTGCATATATATATATATATATGAGTGCTTTCGCCTCACAGCAAGAAGGTCGCTGGGTTGCTGGTTTGAACCTCGGCTCTGTTGGCGTTTCTGTGTGGAGCTTGCATGTTCTCCCTGCCTTCGCGTGGGTTTCCCCCACAGTCCAAAGACATGCGGTACAGGTGAATTGGGTAGGCTAAATTGTCCGTAGTGTGTAAATGTGTGTGTGGGTGTTTCCCAGAGATGGGTTGCGGCTGGAAGGGCATCCGCTGTGTAAAATCTTGCTGGATAAGTTGGCGGTTCGTTCCACTGTGGCGATCCCGGATTAATAAAGGGACTCAGCCGACAAGAAAATGAAATGATGTGATGGTGTGCTTTATCTGGCTGATTTCTGCTGAACTGGGCGGGTTGTGTGACGTTTGATTCGGAGGACGTTCTGGGGTTGGGTTTGCGTTATGCAATGCGAGGTACTAGCCCGACAGTGAAAACAAAACATGATTTCAGCCTCGCTGCTTAAGCTCCCGGCCCAATAAAAGCCCTGGCTTGCAATAACCCGACAGTGGAAATGCGGCTCATGTTTTAGTGTGTTTTGACTTCAGCTTTTGATGAGAGTTTTAAAGACTTAATAAAAAACTGATCTTTTTTTTTTTTTTTTTCATTTCAGACCTAATTGAAGAAAATGTTGCGAGTAAAGAGGAGGAACATCATGTCAAAGTTGAGGAAAAAAATCATTTACAGACTTGCAGTATTTTAAAAACGAGAGACAAGAAACCGTTGACATGCGCTCAGTGTGGGAAGAGCTTCAGCCAATCATCAATCCTCAATAGACACATGAAGATCCACAATGAAGAGAAACCATTCACATGCACTGAATGTGGGAAGAGTTTCTACCAGTCATCACAACTTACTCCACACATGAGGATCCACACCGGAGAGAAACCATTCACATGCACTCAGTGTGGGAAGAGTTTCAGACTAATATCAACCCTTAATACACACAAGAAAATCCACACTGGAGAGAAACCGTTCACATGCACTCTGTGTGGGAAGAGTTTCATCTTCTCATCAAACTATAATAAACACATGAGGATTCACAGTGGAGAGAAACCGTTCACATGTTCTCAGTGTGGGAAGAGTTTCAGCGTCTCCTCATACCTCAATCAACACATGAGGATCCACACTGGAGAGAAACCATACACATGCCCTCACTGTGGGCAGAGTTTCAGACAAATATCAACCCTTAATCGACACATGGAGATCCACACTGGAGAGAAACCATTCAGATGCACTCAGTGTGGGAAGAGCTTCATCTTCGAATCAAACTATAATCAACACGTAAGGATTCACAGTAGATAGAAACCATTCACGTGTTCTCAGTGTGGGAAGAGTTTCAGCGTGTTGTCATACCTTACTCAACACATGAAGATCCACACTGGAATGAAACCGTTCAGATGCACTCAGTGTGGGAAGAGCTTCAGCAAATCTTCACTTCTTAAACTACACATGAAGGTCCACACTGGAGTAGGCATGGAACGATAACGGTTTTCAAGGTTTGGTGGAAAATTCTTTTTATTTACTCCGTTGTAGAGCTGCACAATTCTGGCTAAAATGAGAATCGCGTTTTTTTTTTTTTTTTTTTTTGCTTAAAATGAAGATCACGATTTTCTCACGATTCTGTAGATGTAAAATAAAGGTATGGTAAAAACAAACATATAGCACAACATCGATAATAATATTATGTGTAGGTCTACTGGCTTCTATAAATAATTCTATTCTACTTATAATAATTCTGATGTTGAATTATGTTTGAGATATATGCTAGCAATCTGTCATATTAGACAATTTAATTCACTGGTAAAATCAGACATTTGCCATTATCAGATTATATTCAACATTATATTGACCTTATTCTAAAATGCGGAAGTGCGCCTGTTTTCGCGATTGTCTTAGAACTTCCGATTTAGTCGCCTATGGGAGAAATGACTAGGAATAATAAATGGCAGAAAATGGCCAAACTACTTGCTCAACAAACAAATGTTTGCATGACTACACAGACCAAGTAGCATATTATAATAAGAAAATATTAAATTGCAACATCAAGCAGCGTAACGAGCAGTTGTTAACGTCAAAAAATGAATGGAAGTGAATGTGACCGGAAGTCGCGAGACAAAAAGATTCAAATGGCAGCACCCGCTCGACGGCGGAGAATAAGGTGAATAGGCTAGAGTAGTTATACTGACACTGTAAACATTTATTTTCATGCCCAACTGTGGGTTTACTATGAGAGAGAACACATATCAAATGCTTGCCTTAATCATAACTCTAAAATGTGATATGATCATTTAAATGAAGTGCACACTTTCGGTTTCATTTTGACTGCTAAGTGCTTGTTCATACTTCGTGCGGCTCTCAAACGATCACTCTGTGCCACAAACTGAATATTATTTAAAACTGTATTACCTGTTACTCGCAACATATGCAGGTTCTGTTCACTAAAGTAGACGCGCGCGCATCTATCATCAAGTAGAGCACACGCGCCCGCCCTGAAAACTCGCCTGCAACTCACGTCTTGTGTGATTTCCCGATCGCGACAACATCATTATATGTTAAGACAAAAATTACATTTTTAGGTGAATTATACCTTATAAATACAGTATGTGACTCATTCAACATCATCTGGAGGTGTCCAGGTCAGTGAGCAACGTATGTGAAACAATGAAAAGGCTCGTGCAGCCGCCTTTTCTTCTCTCCTGAACTTGAAAATATGATTGGCAGAATCGTAGAAATGCTGGATTAAGATCGTCTAGGGGGTCGAATCGAGATCGCGATCTTTTAACGATTAATTGTGCAGCTCTACTCAGTTGTATACATAGTAAGGTCTGTTCTTCTTTTTATCTCTATGTATGTACTGTTTAAGTTAGACCAGGGGTGTCCAAACTACGGCCCGCGGGCCATCTGCGGCCCGCAATCAGTTTTGTGGCGGCCCGCGAGGCTTTTTATAAATATCAATAGCATCTGGCCCGCTATACAAAAATGAACGTAATTCAATAAATAACCACCGGGTGTCGCTATTACATGCATTTAATTAAGCAGCAGTTCTTGTTATGATCTATCTATCTATCTATCTATCTATCTATCTATCTACACAGTTGAAGTCTGAATTATTTGCCCCTCTTTGATTTATTTCTTCTTTTTTAAATATTTCCCAAATGATGTTTAACAGAGCAAGGACATTTTCACAGTATGTCTGATAATATTTTTTCTTCTGGAGAAAGACTTTTGTTTTATTTCGGCTAGAATAAAAGCAGTTTTTAATTTTTTATGAACCATTTTAAGGTCAAAATTATTAGCTCCGTAAGTCTTCAGAACAAACCATTGTTGCCTAATTAACTTGCCTAATTACCTTAATTTGACTAGTTAACTTAACTAACCCAGTGAAGCATTTAAATGTCACTTTAAGCTGTATAGAAGTGTCTTGATAAATATCTAGTCAAATATTATTTACTATCGTCATGGCAAAGATAAAATAAATTAGTAATTAGAAATGAGTTACTACAGTAATATGTTTAGAAATGTGTGTGTGTGTGTGTGTATATCAAGCGGCAACCTCCTGCTCTCCCTCAGGAAGCCAATACGGAAGTAACTAAAACTGCAATTCATCCGAAATTCCGCTAGTCCTGGCCTCTCCTGGCTCCAAAACAGAGCAAATTTCAATTGAGCCCACTGTTAGAATGGCCAACTTTACAGCAGAAAAAAAGGTGTTTACAGCCTGGTACAAAAAAAGATTTTGGTTAATACAGGTAATATTACCCTTCATGACAACTGTGAGGGGGGTGAATTTTTTCATAACTTATCCGTTTCCTTTATATTAAGTTATATTAAGTTTGCATAATTAAGGGAGTGGCCACTTGAGTGACAGCTAGGTCTCGCTGGTCGCCGTCACGTCACCTCAGCTGAATCCTGCAGATTAGCCACTGAACTCGGCATATTTATCGTATTTCTGTGTTGTTTTATGTGGCTTTACACAGTCAACTGCCTTTTGGACTTGTTTCCCACAATTATTAGATGGCATGGCATGCTGAGGGCACTTAATTGTGCTCACAAAACATTCACGTGGCCTCCGTTTCCCATGTGAGTAAAGTTATATACTTATATACCATCTCTATACGTGTATTTGTTTTATTTAAGATCATTTATCGTTTATATTTATATTTAGAGCTGTAATGCATTCCAGAATCTGTCAGATTGATTAGCTGTAGGCTCTAGAACAGTCATCTGAAGCGTTGTCATACAGTTGTCATGCTGGATTTCATTAATAGTCTTACATTTACTAACACAGACTATATCTAAAGTGTTTGGAAGTAATTCGCGTTTTCCTCCTGTTGAAAAACGTCATAAGAACAATGTTTAGTGGCTCAATGTATTACAGCAGTGTTTTTAAAAGTCTAAACACTTTATTGATATAGTATACAACCAAGCACAAGTGGTCAGAATACAAACGAGTCACAGGTGATAAAGTATAAAGCGTTTCTCCCAAAGTAAAGTGTGTCTGAACCAGGTCCAAGCTAAATGCTAGCAGGTGTCTGTAGCTCCGCTCACTCTCCGCCTCTTTGCCCTTGTTTGGTATCCCGCCGTGGGTGTGATGACGCGTGACCAAAATGGCGACGGTTGGCCGCGCCTACTTGTGGCTTCTTTTGCGCTCTTCAGAAACCTATGGGTGACGTCACGGATACTACGTCCATATATTTTACAGTCTATGGTGTATATATATATATATATATATATATATATATATATATATATATATATATATATATATATGCGTGTCTGTGTGATATGTAAAATTTGGCCCGCGACAATGTTTTTTTTTTTTTTGCATCTGGCCCTCGGCCCAAAAAGTTTGGACACCCCTGAGTTAGACCATACGTGACTAGTTTAACCTTTCTGTATACATTACACAGCTAGGCTATATGTGACCACTTTAACATCTGTTTATCACCAGACAAGATCTGGATACATGATGATTTAACAAGATATATGTTTGGGTGAGAGGTAAGGCTGAAATATAGATGGTCAGAAATGAAGCATGAGCGTTGATGTAACTGTGATTCATCCTGTATGTCACTAATATCATTGTGGGCGTTACAACTAGATAAGAAGAGAACACACACTGCTATTGGTCTCACATCTGCAGAAACCTGTGTTCTGTATGATTGTCTGATCTTCTTTGCAAAGAATAAAACTTTAAAAGACACTTTGGGTAAGACTTTGTCTTCTTTACCACTGAGAGAGCCTCCTTAAAGAAAATAGCCACTACAAAGGTATACCACGGTTTAGAAAAGTCAAGGTTTTAAAACAGACACAATTTTCTGCTATGCCGTTCCTGTGGTATATGACAGATTTTTTACTTAGCTTTTTTTTGTTTAGTTTCTTAGGATCACAGTATCTCCAGCAGAAAAGATATCTAAATTGCCTTTTTAAACTGGAAATAAATCTGTGTTTCTGAAACTAATGAAGACAGCAGAAGTCAAAGATTCATTTGAATTATTCAGCCTGACATGTTAAAATATTTTGTGTTCAAAGGGGGAAAAGTTTTTTTTTTTTTTTTTTTTACCCAGACATTTAAAAAGAGCAAATATTAGAGCAATAATCACAATACCGTCAAACAATTATATGTTTATCCAAGGTTATCATACTCTCAGAATCTTATACCGGCCCATGCCCACACTGGAGAGACCATTCACATGTTCTCAATGTGGGAAGAGTTTCAGATGATCGACACACGATCATACACACGTCAAGAGTAGGGCTGGGCGATATGACAAAAACTCTATTTTTTGTTTCAATATTAAACAATAAATTGATAAATTACTATGTAAGTTGTTAATGCTTCCAGCTTTAAAAGTTATTATCACAACAATGACTTATGCTACAAAAATTAGAGAGTTGATTAAATTACAATTTAAAATATTGTTTATTAACAGACACAGATTACACATTTGACCTTAAATTAAAACAAATAGAAAAATACATTTAAAAAGACTAATCTGTTCAAGGTCTGGCATTACGAGGTGAATTAAACGTGCAAAACGTAAACAAAAATATACACTACAACTTCCAGCAAGTCCAAACTAATTGTGAAGCTTTTCGGGTGTTTCAGGTGATGGAGTATGCCGGTCGTGTTGGCAGATTTGGCTTTCACAAACCATTGACATACTTTTTTCATACTAAGTTTTTTCATCCGTCAAATAAACACGGCAGGGCTACTAACTCAAATCAATCCCTACATTGAAAACACACATCTTTAATGCTTCACTATATCACAAACCTCTGTCAACTACTTTAATACAAGTCATTATTAAAGATTAAGGGCTCTATTTTAACGATCTAGGCACAAAGTCTAAAGCGCATGGCACAAAAGCATTAAGGGCGTGTCTGAATCCACTTTTGCTATGGATGGAAAAATGTGGTCTGCACCATAGCGCATGGTCTAACAGGGTTGTGCTTATTCTCGTAATAAGTTATAGGTGTGTTTTGAGAATTAACCAATCAGAGTCTCATCTCCCATTCCCTTTAAGAGTCAGTTGCGTCATCATGGCACATTTGCTATTTACATGGCGGACTTTGGAAGTGGAAAAACTGAACAGCTCACTAGTGAGAAAACGGTTAAACAGCATCTGCAGCGCGAGCATAAAGAACGAGCCTCCTCCATTCGGCTTCTTTCACTTTCTATTTTTCTGTGGATAAGGAAACATTGTTGTATGCATTCCTCTGAAGACATTAGCCTACATATTTAATTTAGTTTAAGCACAACAATTTGTTTTAAAACTGTTTCTAAATTCAGTTCTGATTTCCAGCAAACGAATAAATGAGCAGTAATAATGAAGTGTGAATCAGAATCGGCAGGCTAGCGCAGAAGCACCATTGAATATACTGGGGTAAAATAAACGCTCATATAAAGACATGGCAGGGGAAAATGTAATTGAATGCAGTGCTTCTTGTACAATCTGAGACCCACTATATATCAGATATCACTCAGCTAGTGGAGATCGCAGATTTTTAAGGAAAACAGACCTTAAACTCGCCGATTTTGCATTGGCATACAGTTCACCAGAAGTTGTTAATCCAGGTTACTGGCAAAATAAAAGTCCTATTAGCATGCTTCGGCATATACCCTATTAAAAACTTCTCATAGGCATCTGATGTAAAATTATAAAATAAGAGCCCTTTAAACCTTATACAAAACACTGTTTGGCCCTGATTAAACAAATATTTATAATAATAATAAAACTATTAGATTTAACAGGCCAGTTTTACCTCAGATTGACAGTGAACATTACCAAAGTGTCAGCTAAACACTTCTCATGGGTATATGTTTCTTTCCTTATTTATGTTTCTTTCCTTCTTTATCAGGTCATAATTTTTGAGTGTATCACACAAAACCAAGATAAAAAACGCTTAACGTAGTTTAAACATTTTTAAAGAAAATATAAAGTCAACCCAAAACACTTCATAATAGGTGCAGTCCTAAAACTGAACCTACAGGCAGCCAATCAGCTTTCTCGGAGCCAGCTACAGGCAGCCAATCAGCTTTCGCTGGTCAGCGTGCAGGCAAATATCCCGCCCACGGCGCTTATTCTGAGGCGGAGATCGGAGAGAGCAGAACTTTGCTGTTTGAGGATTAATGTGTTTAATTCCTCTTCTGTTACAGGTGTTGTTCGTCTGTTCAGAGTAAGTGTATGATATCTGACCATAGTAGCGTTCGCAGACTTGCGGGAATTATCTTGCGGTGTGAACCGCTTTAACATATGTGCTCAATGCTAATATACTCTCTTGTTTTTAGCTCGATGCTACGCTGTAAACACTCTTGTAATGTCTTACTCACGGGTTATCTGGACACCTTTCATTTGTGTCTCCATCTAATTCATTCACTAAGAGGTAGTTTAATGCTGATTATATTGACTATTGACTGTTTAACTGAACATATGCTTGTGTAAACTCTTGAAGAGACGCAAACGCTTTATTTTGCAGTAAAGCAGAATTTGGGATTAGTATAATAATATAAAACACTTAATTCATTAAAATATTGAGAGATAAATGTAAGCAATCAGAGACATGATCACGCTGCACACATGACATGTAGAATCGGCCACTCAAGACTTACACACACATTTATTGAACAGGGGAGAAACACCTATTTGTAGCTTGTGTGAGAATATTTTGATGATAAAACATATTTTAATAGGATGTATTTTTAAAATGATATTAGAGAGTGTTTTAATCCAGGAAATATTTTGAGGAAAGCGTTTCAAAAATGTGTTTTCTGGAGGATTTTTACAATTTTACAGACTTTTTATCAGTGTTGTTGTTTTTATATTTTTAATATAATTATTGATGTTTCAGGAACAGTTATGATTGTAAATTATGTACTGAATATTTAAGGCAAGGGTTTCTGTTATAAATGCAGGAATATTTCCATCAGGCTCAAGTGAAGAGTTTACTGAAGGACAGCGAGAACATGAGTGATCCAGAACCCTGCAGAATTAAACCTGAAGATACTGAACAACAAATAGGTTGGTGTTTATTCCTGATTCTTCATTAATAAGCCTGAAGAACAATAATGATGAAAAGCATTAAACAGTTGACCTCCTAGGAAGGTTCTTCACTGTTCAATGTTTTTAGCATTTATAGAAAATGGCATTCACAGTGGTTCCCTGCAGTCCCAAAGCTTTAGAAATGACCTTGTAACCTTTTCCAGACCGGCAGATCTCAAATATTTTCTTTCTCATTTGTGTTTAAATTTCTTTGGATCTCAGAATGTTTTCTAGCTTTAGAGGCTCTTTTGGTCTACTTCACTTTGTCAGGCAGGTCCTATTTAGAAGTGATTACTTGATTGCTAACAGGTGAGGCAGTAACGCCAAATAATCATGCATTTTTGTTGGGGTTTTTCCCAGTTGTGAAGGGGTACAATTTGTCATTATTACTGTTGATCATCAGTTGGCCATATTAACCCTATAGATAGGCCTATGCTAAAAGTTTTGGGCTTTTATATAGAGTGCTATGGAGAAAAACGGCAAATTATGGTGTGCGTGCAGAAATACACTTACTATGTTTACTCTGTTCTGAAAGCTAAATTGATATTTTTTTCTTAAACATATCAAGGTAAATGTGCAAAGGTCTGTCATTCTCTCTCTCTCTCTCTCTCTCTCAATTCAATATTTGCTTTATTGGCGTTACAAATATATTGCCAAAGCAGTTATAGTTACATAAAATAGTGTTAAAAAGTTATAAAGTACATAAAAATAAAAGAACATACATATTTATTAAAAAAATACCAGAAACAGTAGTAGTACAAGTAATAAATATTTATATATATATATATATATATATATATATATATATATATATATATATATATATATATATATATATTAGTGCTGTCAAAATTAGTGCGTTAACGCATGCGATTAATTTGAAATATTTAACGCATTAAAAAAATGAACGCAGTTGCAGTTTTTTTTTTTTTTTTTTTTCCTTTTGTGGTTGACGTGTTCAACATGCAATGAAATATGGATAAGACCAAGGAAGCACTTTGTTACGGCAAGTTTCAGTATAAAACAATTAATGTGGCATTACCAGGCTCTCCAGCGTTTCCTCCAGAATTTCATGCAATTTCGGGTGTTTCATTTTTAACTTTCGACTTTTGTTTTAATGGAATTGATACCACATGGCGAACAGAAAGAAAAACCTACGCATTTCATGACTCAGTGGTCCTTTAAGGTAATCAAAAATAGCTGTTTATATTGTAGACTCTTAATAAGAGTGTTATCTTAATCATATTAAAATCGGAGTATTGGTGTCCATTTAAGTTTGACGTGTTTCCCCCTTAAACACAACTTTTGTAAAGTGTTTGCTTCGCGTTGTTGTGTCAGAATCCTTGTGATATACAGCCATACTTTAGAACGCTTAGTTTAAGCAAATTTGATCATGCGTGTTGAATTTGAAGGCAATTGCTCTGGCTGCCCTGTCCTGCACGCGTTCTGTCTGTGTGTGTGTGTGTGTGTGTGTGTGTGTGTGTGTGTCTGCGTTTCTTAGCAACAAACCTGCATAAACCTGCCTAAACGTCGTTGTCCGTAGCCACTAAATCAAAAAGTTACGAATTGCCATGAGATTGTGTTGCACTCTCAGCTCACATCATTCAAAAGAAAAGGTCCACGTTGTCCCCCTATAATGTCAACAGACTGGACAGTTTTAGCAACTGTCTGAATGTAAAGGAGAACGGAGTAAAATTGATTCTACTTTATAATTAATGTTCTCAACTCACAGCAATACAACTTTACAACGAGTACAATTGTTTGTATACTTTATCAATTCTTTATTATAATTTTCCATATCTGCAATTCCTGTATTTTGCCATTTTTTTTTTCAGTCCACTTAGAATCCAACATGGAAATCAAATGTTTTCTTTATTGGCATTGATTGTTTTGAAATTTAAATGTCATTAACATGCCTGTGTTTTAATTTCTGTAATAAATATGGCTGTCAAGCAGGATCTTGATGGTTTATTGTGGGTATGTTGTTTACATGAAGAAATCTGTGTTACAAGTAAACAAAAATTCTAATAACAATTATTTTTTAAATTTGAATAGTTTTTGTCTTGCGTTTACATTAATTTTACATTTGTATAGCCAAAATGACAAGTTTCAGTCTTTTAAATGTGATTAATCGCTTTTTAATTTTCAAAAAAAGTGTGATTAATTAATTAGTTTTTTTTATCGATTGACGGCACTAGTGTATATATAATATTTACATAAAAAAATAGATGAATAATATCTATTATTCAATATATCATTTTTATTAAAAAAAACTGCCACAAACATAATGAAACGGTAGTCAATTTGCCCAGAGTGTTTATAGTTGAGTTTTTGAAAAGTTCCACAGCATTTTCCCAACATATGTCAAAATAAGATGTCACCAAAAATCTGTCCATTTGCTGAAACACTAAGAAACTTGTGGCCAAATTATCACCCCGAGTGGATGAAAACAACCCAGCAGCACACAAGGGTTAAAAGTGCACTTTTCAGGCTTAATGCAGATGTGTTACATTTGTAAGGCTTGAAGCCTACGCTGCTATTCTGAATAATAGTCGGAAACAGAAAGCAGTTGAAGGATGGCGTGTTTAAATCCATTATATATCTGACTCCAGTCTTATTAATCTGACTCCATTAAAGTTGTTATCATCACTAATAAAGAGAAAGAATCTCTACGTCTTAAAGCAGGCAAAGATGTTTATTGAGTTACATGTTTAAATATACAGACAGTAGAATAAAACAAACTAGCATACTGTATAAAGAAATTAGCTGTAACGTATGCACTGCTGAGCAACAAAAACAGTGAAGCTGCCTTTGTTAGCATATGAGGCTACGCACTCGTGTGCGGGAGATGCAGAGTAAAAGCCATTCTCCCAGATCAACAGTTACCTTTCCCTATTATACCCTGAGCAGAGCATTGTCAAACAAGAGTGAAAACCAACCCCCAAAACCAGCTGAACATGAGAGCAAAGTTCAGGAGATGAAGTGGGGGAGAAGTACATTAACATACTCTCCTCAGGCCATGACTAACAATAGTAAATATATTGTAGATTGAAACACAATTAATCAATGTCTCTGTTGATTTCATCACTACAACACTGAAGTCATGAACTGTCAAATCACACCAAACATAGTAAAGTTATATGAAGGAAGATCACGAGCAGATGAATTGTGTATGGTGAAGAGCACATGGTTACTGGAAGCACATGGCAGAGATGTGTATTGGAGCTGTGAGGAACCACTACAGGAGGACCCATCCCATGCTTAGAATGTCTCAGTAGTCCTTCATTAGCATAGAAGGAATAGCATATATTTTCTCAACTTACACATTAATGTGCATCACATTTCCAGCCACGTTTCTACTTTCGTGTCTAAAGGCGCGAGCCAGGGTCAGTCGCGTTTTTACTAGCCGCGTTTCCACTATCGCGCATAAAGGGAGCGAGCCAAGGCCGGTGGCGTTTTCACTAGCCGCGTTTCCACTATCGCGCCTAAAGCGAGCGAGCGAGCCAGGGTGAGCCAAGGCCAGTGGGGTTTCCACTGTCACTTCCGGGGCCTAATCGGGCCAAAGCGGGGCTTTCTTGGGGCCAACGGCTGGCCTTTTTCGGCCCGCCGAATACCTTGGGCCAGCTGGGGCTTCGGGGCGGAGTGAAAGGAGAGGCGGGCAGTTTTCTGATCGCACATGAGTACATGAGCCAAACACAAATAAAGAAATAAGGGAAAGAAAACATCTGGCCTTATAGTCTGGGGTCTTTTTGCGTATGATCGCCCTTATGTTTCCCTTTTAAATGTAAGGCTGCTGCATACAATAATAAAGTAGTTTTAATTTATAGTGACGTTTTTTGCTGCGTCCTCCTTTATGTTTCAATAACGCATAATAATCTTTACACCATATTAAAGACACAACAGACAGTAAAAGTTTTCCAGAGTTTTTGTCAAGTTTAAAATGTTTGTTTGTGCGCGTTTAAATGCCTGGCTGTATGTGTGTGTGAGACCGGGCAAAAGCGCTCCTTCACAGCTCTGTTGATTCCGCGAGCGGCTTTTTCCTTTATTTATTTTGGAGATTAAACAATATAAATGCAACAGAAAGACACAAAACTTAACAAATTACGTGCCCACTTTTGTAGACTTTAAACAATGTATTGTCATATCTTGATCAAATAGCCTGAGCTATATTGAAATATAATTTAAAGAATTACAAATATCGGATTTATATAAAATCACATTAAATAAATAAACCAATATAAAATAAACAAAAGCTAACTACAACAATGTAGGTAGCCTATATACAATACATAGATCAAACCGTTTTAAAGCCACATATAGCCTATAACTTTCATTTTACAAAGACCTGTCTGAAAAAAAAGATTCTAGATATTTTCTAAAAACAAACACCGAAGGTTTGAAATATTTATATAAAGTAAATATTTGTATAAGTAAATATTTAGGCTATAAAGTATTTGGATACGATGATATTAATCAAATCGCGCAAACAGAGCATTAGGTGAAAGCAGAATCTAGCCTATACCTTTTTTCTGTCACTCCTGCGCTGCGCTCGCTGCTTTAAACGCATCGGGAGAAAGCCCAAACACAAAATGTGTTCTATATCCTCAAACAACTGTTTATGTTTTAATTTGATGATGTTTAAATTTATAAATGAAACTTTAAATGAAGAGCTTTAGTGAACAGCTGCCGAGCACAACAAATATGGCTATATTTTATTAGGCTACTCGCTCTTGTGCTGAAAACTTAACACGACGTCTCAAAACGAGGATGTTATAAAATACATGCCATATCGAGTTATAAAGGAGAATTTCTGTGGCTTTATATTATGGATGTGTGCACTCACTGTGTTGGGTCCCTCCGTTAGTGGCGAGAGCACTATGCACAATGCCAACAGTCGGTCGGCGAGTAAACAAATGTAATGAATGGAAATACATATCTGTGTAGATATACATACTATATAGAAATACATACTATATAGT